TATGATCACTATCACTTTATTCAGGTAATACGATCCCCATTTTCCGTCAGTCTCTTCATCGTTCCGCCTTGCGCAAAATTTAAAGTTCTATTGAAGTGAAGGAATCAGGGTTTTTGGAGAAAATGATAACGAAGTTGATTTAATTTGTGCAATTTAATTTCAGGTTTAAGATTCACATTTTTATGTACACTAATAGAAAAGATGGAAGCATTTAATTGCTATTAACGAGACTCCTTAACTATTAATGCCATTTGTTAATTACATGGTTAAAAAAATTTGGCTGAATTTTTCGGAAAAAGATCTTGAATGATTTTTCATTACTTTTTCGAGAATAATACAACTGAAATTAACAGTTCCCACTGATTTCTCCATAAAATTATCAATTTTCAATGACAAAATTCCTTGAAATTTCCATGAAAATGTTACTTGCTAAAAATTTCTAAGACGCGTACTGCATATTTCAGTGGAAAATTTTCAACAGTGTATTAACGAATGATGCTAATGCTTGAGAAGGCTCTTTACAGCAACTAAATCCTATTATCAGTCTAGTTTCTTTGTTTTGGTTCTCATACAGTCTAACGAAGTTAAAATAATTTAACGAAACATCTCTTCTTTTGACAATTTACTCAACGTGGTTGTTATTTTCTCCAAATCCCCTGCTTCTCTGACTTCACCAATTTTAACGTTACATTTCAACCAATTTCAACGTTTCCATTTTCAAATAGATTTAACAAGTAATTTTTTACGAAGTAAAAAGAGCACATGAGCCCTCGTTCCTCCCGGATCCGCGATAAAAACATATTTCATGAAAGTTGACATTCTCCTCGAACCCCTGAGAGGATTCGATTTCACATTGATCTTTATGATCACTACTTCAACCCAGCAATACGATCTCCATTTCACGTCAGTCTCTTCGTCCCATCGTCCCTCCGCCCGCCCCCTTGTAACGAGCTCTCCTCATTGCGCAAAATTTAACGTTACATTTTCACCGCCCGAAGGCTTTTGTTCCCACCAACGTAACTGTTTATCGCTAGTGCTTCATCCTGACGTTTCCATGGCTCACTCATTTCCGGAAAATAAACCGAAGGCGAGGATATACCGAACGAACTGGGTTCACTAGAAAATAGAATGCCCCTCCTTATTCTCGGCCGTCTGTTTCACTCTGTCCTATCCACCTCGGTCCCTCAGTCAACGTCCATCTCATTCACTTCTCATTGTCTCCTCCCCCGTCGTCATTTCTGAAATATCTCGAATTTCCCGAGTGAAAATGCCTCACGGGTAACTATTTGATGTGAATTGAGCGGAAACTAAATACTGAAAAATATAATAGTGAGGTTTTAAATGAGAGGGGGATCGAGAGAGGGAGTGGAAATGAGTACATGTCTACGAACGGAGGAGCACATATTGAATAAATACTTGATTTAATATTCGTTAATATTTTTCTGCTCAAACAACTGCGGAAATTGAGTCTTTCCGAGGAATTAAAAAGAGTAACCCTCATCTTTCTTCAAGGGATTGGAGACATTCCCCTCAGTGATAGTGCTCTCAGAAACCAAGATCCTCAGTGACATAATTGAATCTGAAGGCAGATCAGGCATTGATCCCGTGCCATGTACCTCCTCGAGAATCACGTGGTTTGAGTTGACAATTCTCGGTGTGCATAGCCCTCCGGATGTAATGGAAATCAGCCACGAGCCGCACCTGACCAAACCCGCATTAAATTCATAAATGTCATCCCATTCCTTCCAACCTCCTTACCAATTGCTCGATCCAGTCGTAGCATTTATGGAAAATTATCTTTCGTTATTTTATCAAGTAACAATTTTATTGGAATTCCAAAGTTTTTTTTGTTTTTGTTATTAAAAATTTATAATTTCATGGAAAAATCAATACAAGCTATAAAGTTCAGTTTAATTATCGCGTGAAAGTAAATGGAAAGCAAAAAAATTATGCGGAATTAAAAAAAAATTTTTCATCGAATTCTATTTAAAATTCCAATCTAAATTTCGAATTCCAGCGAATCTTCAATGGAATCAGTAGCAAAGCATTGAAACGGCTCAACTCGATTTATTCCGGAAATGAGATTTCACGGAAATCGACTCCCCAAATAACTAAAATAATTAAATTAAAAAATTCACGATTCCGTCGTCTTTTTTTCCAATCACTCTGACACACATCTCCCGAACAGTTTTATCACAAATTTTTCTCCTCTCCTCTCCGTCCTTTATCTCGAAAAAAACCCTGATAACAAAACAACATCAGAAATAATCCGACAATGTTGACGAGTTTTAGTACCACATAACCGAGAAGAATGAGAATGAGGCCCATCCTCTTAAGGAAGAAATAAAAAAGCTGAGTACATAAAAAAAATATAAAGAAGAAGTGGAGCATCCCCTTGAACTGCACCGCCTCCGCCTAAAAAACGAGCCTTAAAGATACAATTTCGAATGAATAAACCTCAAAGAAATAAATTCCCCTGATACCCCGAATGAGGTATTGATTTTCACCCCGGCATTGAATGCCACTGGAAACTAAAAGCCCGAGGGTAAATTTTTAGAAGCCATCTGAAATGGAAGGCAAAATCGAAGCACCACAGACTCTGCAATTGTCTGTTCACCTCTGGTTAATTCACCGAGCCGTCACCCTCACTAATTCACTTCATTACGCGTTGCGCCACTGCTAATTGCTCTCCTCGGTGGTACTGTTTTCTTTTTACTTTCATGCAGAGTTATATGCGTCATCGATTGAAATAAAACGCCAGTGAATGCGAGTCAATCGACCTCTGAGATTCTAAAAGTTTTATCTTTCAAATCTTGCAGGAGACTGGGACCAATCATGAGATTTCTTACATCTATTTCCCGTGTTTTCCGGTTATTTCGTAGAGGACTGGTGAAAGTAATAACAGACCGGAGATCGTAATACGAGCGTAACGCGTGTTATTAAATTCTAGGTTGCCTCATCACGGCCTCCAAACATATCTCATATCCCACTGACTCGCTTTTTCCCGTCCGCAAGTGCCACTCGAAACCATTTTTCCTCCCTACCTCTTGATAAACTAACCTGCCGAGTCCCTAAGTAACCACAAACTGGTGTGTTTGAGGCTGGAAAATGTGGGACTAAAAGTGTGTCAACGTTTGATGTTGATATTCAACTTATGACCTCGGGATTCTCCGATTATTTCTACTGGATGAAATGTATTAAATGACAATGTTAATACTTTAAATGGATAAGAGGTCTTATTAAATCGCACTGGCTACGATGCCGTAGCGCACTTTGGTTTTAACACCCGAATAAAATGGACATTTGTTTTGAGATCACTGTAAAAACTAGAGTCTTCAAGACGCTTTAATTTAAAACATTACAGTAATTGAATTTTCGAATGTCTGAAAATAAAGTGGTTGATAGGACATTTTTATAATGTCTTGACATACACGTCACCAAATTTAAGAAATTTTTTAGAATGCATGTCCAATGTCTCAATTTGAGACACTAGAAATTACTTAAATTTGGGAACACAAACGTCTTAATTTCAGACACTAGTTTCTGCAGTGATCTATGATCTTACCATGAAATTATTAGAGAACTCAAATTATGATTAATGTAACTCTCTATTTGGAAATTCATTAGCGAAGTGGTAACATAGTTCAAGGAGATTTTGACTATTGGTCAGTGTTTCACGCATCTATCGGAATCCAAATCAGATAGCAAAATTTACCTTATAACTTAATGTAATTACGAAAATGTCGCTATCTCTCGTAGATTTGGAGATATTTCTCACAAACTCAGCCAAGAACTACGTCGACTTGGGTTTTACCCTTCGCAACTGAATTTTAAAATGCAATACTTCCAAATATTTCGCATCAAATTGTTCAAAAAACTCAAATCAGGTCCTATTTTAAGATTTCTGACATCTTAAACAATTTTTTGTTCGGGTGAATCTGCTAATGCATGCTCGCATGGAATGAGTAGATGAATGATCAGTGGATAAATTATCGAAACATTGTGTTGTACATTACGTGTCTACAATTAAATGTTTGATGTTGCATGTTGAACTCAATTTGCACCTGTTAATGTTCCATCAACGATTATTGACATATTTCACGATGAATTATTACAACTGTAAATATACAATGTGTAAATTATTCCTCACTCGCTGTTGTACCGTAACTATAAGTGCATTGCGCAATTAATCTAACAAGCTTCACTCTCGTCTGACTAATGAGCCCTTCTTCTACTGCCGCACGTAAGCGTCTTTCTCGTTCTCTCTTCCTACTCGTTAATTAATTAAATGAGAAAAAGTTGAATTCTATCACTTGTCTGTCTACTTTTATTTCAACGTTTCTGTTCATGAGTTATTCCGACAACTGCGAGAGATCGAAATGTTGAACGATTAAGAGAAATTGAAAAAAATAAAACGGTGGGTGCTTGCGCGAGTGTTCCCGATGTGAATGTGGACGATGCAAAGATAACAGCGTGCAATTATTATATCCTTGCATCATTGGCTTTATACGATATACCAATAGAGTGACAGTATTTCAGTGCGGATTATTTAATCGGTTAATGGTAGCGAGATAATCCCTTGAAGGAATTATTATTCAGCATAATAATTTGGCAATAGACGAAAATTTCTTTTTAAATCGATCCCTAAATTTTATTTGCTGAAATTTTTGTTGAAATTCTCGTGGAAAATACCATGAGTCGAGTAAAAATTGAAATATTTTTACAGATATTTACCTCAAATGACAATTTTTACGAGAAATGTTGAAAAAAATTGTATTTTCTTCTTAGAATTGCAATTCTTCTGTTTTAATTCTGACAATAAATTTTGTTGTCGAAATTCTTAAAAAGTTAATAGAGAAATAAATAAAAATGAATAAATACCACTGAAATACTGAGACCAATGATAATAAAAATTCCCTCATTCAAACGCTAATCGCTGTCCTTCTGTTTGACTCTCCTCGGGGGATTTTTTAAAATAAAAAAAATCCTCGCGCAACCAGGGACATACTTCAACTGCATTATGTTCATGGTGGCAAGTAGCGTGGTACTCACCGTCCTGGTACTCAACTATCATCACAGGACGGCCGATAATCACGAGATGCAGCAATGGGTAATTGAGCGATTGTTAATTAGCACTAACGAGCAAACACTTGAAATGCATATATATATATATATATGTATATATATACGTATATATATAAACAATGAGTGGTCTCATGGCGGTAGGCGGGGAGGTATGTCAACTGTCAACAGTAATCGGTGGCCCGTGCTGTGGGCAATATTCTTGATATTTGCAGGTGAAAACGGTGCTTCTGCAGTGGCTACCCTGGATGCTGTGCATGCACAGACCGGGGAAAAAAATCACGCGGAAGACTATTATGATGAGCAATAAGATGAGGGAGATTGAGCGGCATAATAAATCTAGTAAGAGCCTCATAGCCAATGTCGCTGATATGAATGATGATTATCGATGCAGGAGCACCATGTATCCTAGCATGCCGTCTCCGTACACACGGTACTTATGTTCTGGTTCATTAAGATTGTGCTTAACGCCTGTAATCAACTGCTGCGAGAAGTATTTGGAAATTTTCATGGATATTCAGTAGTTTTTCTTATGAATAATTCATGAACATTTTTTAATCGTTGAGAAAATTTGTTTGAATGGAATTGATAGTAAATTGATAGTAAAAACAAAAAATTATTCAAAATAATAATGTATGGATGTACCTACTGCGGTTTTGCAATTGTTTCATGAATTTTCCTCGAAACAGAAACTTCTCAATTTTTTTTCAGATTAAAAAATGCTTGCTAACGGTTTAAAACGGAGAATTTCATTCAGGCTCGAAATTTTTAATGATAAAATCATTTCAAAATGTTCAATTTAGGGTCAAATGAAAGGTCTGATGTTGAACTGCAAATTTTGAGAAGTATTCAAACGAAAAAAGTCTAAAATACTTTAAATATCCACTATTGAACATTTTCGACTGAAATTCTCCAATTTCTACTGATTATTTATTAGATTAGATTAGATGCAATTTATCATTTCCTTGAGGTAGAAAAAATCCCCTAAGGGAAAACCAAAATATAATGTAAGTATTACAACTGAATCTTCTGAATTATTTACATAATTATAACTTTGTTTTCGTTTATTATTTTGTTTGTATTCAATTTATTAATTTATTATTTTTATTATTATCACGATTATTTTTTGTTAAATTTACGTGAAATTCGTTAATAAAACAAAAATATTTTGAAAATTTTATAACATTGCAGTGGAATTTTATTGATTTATCTGGACAATTAGAAATTTCATAATTTTTAAATAACTTCACATGAATATCAAGTCTTTCGTGAAATCTTTTACGAAAAAACTCCCGGAGAAAGTCTTAACGTTGCAATCTTCAAACATTCAACAATGAATTATTCTCAAGTGATATTGACAAATTCCCGTACGCAATAACGCGTGTAATTTCCACCTGAATCACCCCTCGAGTCTATCTCATTCGATTTTCCGGAGAATCTCCCGCACTCGTTGTAATACGCAACGGTGAAATTCAGTCAAGTGAAAATCAATCGTCTCGACGCTCAACACAGATGTCTCGATTTCGTGGTACACGAGCCATGTATTCTCGAGTGGGAATTGTGAAAGATATATAGTTTGTCCCCCATGCATCCCTTCATTGATACATATAATCGATTTTAGCGGAGGGGGACACGATACACCTGGCAGGCCATCAACAGTCGATGAAACAGCTGCATCAATGCCACTCAGTGGAACGCAGAGGGAGCTCCAAACGATTCTCAAGGAGCTGCAGTTTATCACTAAGAGAATGAAAAAGGCTGAAGTCGAGGCGGAGATCATCAGCGATTGGAAGTTTGCTGCGATGGTCGTTGATAGGTAAATAAAAGACTCGAATAAAAGTGGTTTAAAATCTGTGATTGGAATTTTATGAACTGTCTGCCAGGAATTTTTAGAGGAGTGACATTGAATTCAATTTGAGAGGAAATAGTTCGCAACTAAAAGTTGAAGTGAATTCATAACTTTCGGGGGAAGTGAGACGGAAATTTCACAACTTATTTGAGTTTTTTATTAAATATGAATATTCAGTACCAAATTGATCTACAGGGAGAAAAACAGTGGCGAATATTCAGAGCCAAGTTACTGATTTGAAGAAACATATGGTTCTAACAAGCATTGTTCTTAGAATAAAAAAATGGTTATTTATTTTCAGATGATTATTGAATTAAAAATATTTGCATTCATGAAGTGAGAACATTTGAAATAATTAAAGTTTAGGATTAATTCAGAATTACATAGAAATGGAATTATAATTCTCAAAGATATGTTTCACAAAAAATCATTAATTCAAGAATGAGAATAGCGTTAATTTAAAAATCCAAATATTGTGAATGCAAAGATAAAAAATTCTTTGAAAATTATGAAAGACCAAATTTTTTCCCCTAATTTTCGAAGAAAATTTCACATACTCCCAGGATTTTTTACTTCTTGGTTTCTAAAATTCAAACATGTTTACAGAAAACAGGATGTTATTCAGCTCCGTGTGACTTTCAAATTAATTAAAATATCGAGAACACATTCCACTTGTCACTTATTCAAAATTTCAAGATGTAACCGGAAATTCTCCTGTAACCTGAAACCTGAAATTCCCTCCAAAGTTTTCACCGCCAAACTAAACAAACCCAATCATAATAAAATAAATTTCTCCCCACTGATGCAACCTTCAATTTTCTGTTCCTAGGCTATGCCTGATACTTTTTACGATGTTCACGGTGATCGCAACAATAGCCGTGCTTTTATCAGCGCCACATATAATCGTCCAGTAGTAAACTGCCCAGGCCCAGCCAGCAAGAAACCTTTCCGAAGAAGCCTCCTCCTAATACAAGGTAACCTTCTACCGCCCCCCCCCCCAGCCCAAAAAATCCCCCAAAAATATCTCACCCCCAACAACGCCAATCACCTCCCCCCTGTAATTTATATTCCAGTAGAAACGAGAGAACGAGTCGTTCGAGTCGAGATAAAGTGGCTGTGAACTAGCGAAGTGGACGAAATAGTTTCAGGGAAAAAAGCTGCGCTGCCCCCGGGGTAAAAAGAAGAAGGGCCAAACTTCCACCGAGAGTGAGGAAAAAAAGACCGGGGCAGTAGTTCCGAGAGTGCAACGAGAAACAAAGTACTTGTAACTCGTCTCCACCGCTGTCCCTCCTCTCGAGTCCCTGCGAAACAAAAAAAAGTCCAACATCGTCCCCTCGACTCCGCGCATTCAATGCGCAAGGAGAATGTGTAAGACCAAGTGAAAAACGTATCTCACACGACTCGTTCAATCTCGATTGTGGCAAATGGAGGAAAACTCTTCAACTATATCCAAAAAAAACAACCAACAACACTGAAAACACTCAAAAGAAAACTCTCCAACAACTTCCATTTCGACATCTTCCACTTCTCGACGTTATTCTCCGCGACGCGAGAGCATCGGACCTTCGGCTAATTCCGGCAGACACTTATTCGATTTCCGCAAGGAGCTGAAGCACTTGGAGAAGTCATACACGACTGTTACATCATACATCATGACGCGATAGTCATCGAGCACTCGTCACAGTCTCTATGATTTTTCTGACTGACTAAAATCCCCGGACGCATAATTCGTCGCATAATTGACTGCCGGAATTTCATCAAACCACCGGCTGCAACGAGTCGTTAACGCAGTTTATCAATTGAAACATTAATGACCCGCTGCAGAAGACGTTAAGAAAAAACACAACGATGCTCAAAAGCTCGCGTTGCAGCAAATAATAAAAAATATACATGTGCAATTTTTTTCTTACTACCGCCGCGTGCGAATCGAGACAGAAACGATAATCATAAAAGAAATACTATTAAAGAACAAAATCGATGATAGATTATATTACACGTGTAAACATAAACACAAACTGCCAGATCGATTCGCCCGCTCGAGAGTGGTGAAAAAATGGAGGGGGATAAATAAAAATGTTGAGGAATTTCTCATTCCCTTCTCAATCGGGAATTCCTCGTCTCAGATATTAATACTTAATGTGTAATTATGTAGGTGTATAATACGCTAGCGAGCGCCGAATATCGTTTATCTCCGCGTTGTGTAAATAAAAAATTTTAATTCAAGTTCATTTGAAATTAGTTGTGAGCGATTTACGAATTAGATCGCAATGAGATTTATTTGACTACGTTTGCGCGCAAAAGGGGATGTGTTTGTTTGGGGGAGAGCCCGTGGGGCAAGAGATGAATTTTAATATGAAGTGTTCAAAAATGTGTGTTGAAATGTGTCTCATTTCGTCGATAACACGTGCGACTGTCGAGGCTTGTGTAATTTACGTTAAATAGCGAGAGATTAATTAAATCGAGGGGAAAGCGTTACAGCATCGATCTCTCCTTTTATTTCTTGTTGAACCGTCAACCGCGACAAAAAGCCAGATGACACGGGGCTTTTCATTCCGTGTCTTTCGAGTCTCGACCTCGCGTGCCCCGATGACACCCTCTCAACTGGGCTAAATTTCAAAGTGCTTTTTTTGTATTTTATTGTTACGTTCTTACGAGTGGAATGATAGAGGAAAATGCCTCGGCTACCCGAAATAATGGGAAATATCTTGATGACACATCATCAGAGTTTGATGAACGTCCGGGGAAAATGGATACAAAGGGTCTAATTGCTTTTTCGTCTGCTCGGGATTGAGACTAAATGGCTTTCACAAATTTAGTTTTGAGTTATATTTTGCCGTGTGGAGTTTTAACGGAACTTCAGGGTGTCAGGGAGAGGATTGACAATACAATTATTCGGGCTCATTGTTTTCCGAGCTTTGAGGGGTCTAATACTGATGAGTTAATTCACTCCTGTCCAGAATGCAATTTTTACGGCTGACAGAGACATTCGGTTAGGTTTTGGTGCTCGACAAAGGGAGACAATTTCATCTGGCGGTTGTAACATTTTTCTTCAGAGTGGTTATTGATATAAAATAAATGGAAAAAGTGTGGAGGATTAAATTAATCCTTCACAATGTTTTTTCATTTTTTTTTGATGAATGTAAATTTTCTTTCGCTCTTGAATTCAATTGAAATTTTACGGATGAGCTCAGTACAGATTCGAGAAAGTTTTGACATACAGATTCCATTGTATCTGTTCCAATTGACAGAGAGATTTTATTTTTCATTTTGAAATTACTATTCACCTCAATTGATAAAATAAATGAGAAACTGCTCCGAAAAATTAATCTAGTAAATTTATTCTCTCAAATGAATTGATTTACTCGGGAGTCTGTCGTGAAATAATAAATTGTGATGATAATAAATCATGATAAAGCAGATTTTATCATTTCAATTGATAAAATGCCTGAAATCCTATTCCGAAGAATTAATATCTGAATGTTCCCCCTCGAAATTTCACGAATGAGTTAAAAGCCCCTTAAATAATCCGAGAATATGTTATTCCCGATTCTGGAAACTTTTGGCAATAGCCTCCAACAATTCTCGATAGTCGTAGAGAGCCCGACATTTTTATGAAATCTCCAATTGCTCCATTGAATTATATTCCTCCCCCGAGTGCTCCCTCAACTAGTCTCCGGTAATAAAAAAAGTCCCGTCGAAAGAGAATAAAACACTAGGCGTGGGCCGTCTAATTATGATCTATAGACGTAGACGTCACAGGACCGGGCACCATCCGAAGCTTATAAATTTTCCCGGGGAAGGCCGATGCCAGGATGGAAAGGCTAGTCCCACTTCGACCTCTGCGCCGTAATTCATTGTGGAGCGAAGGGAATAAAGCTGTCTCGCTTCCGTCCACCTCTCGCCCCTCCTCCCCCCTGCCCCTACCTCCGTTGTACCGATGACGGAGGACACTGCCGGAAGTATTGATACCCAGCCGTGCAATTAATTAACCCTGCAATGATTAACTTGTTACATTTTAATGTTCAATACCATCCATACATCTCGACTGGGGAATTATCGATTGTCACCCGAGCTATTGAATTAAATACACCCACAATCAGCCAGATTAAATTATAATAAACTTCATTAAAAGAATTAGTGTCTGAAATTCAGACAGTTTTGGATTCTTTTTGAGACGTTTGTCACTTCAAATTCAAGTCAATTTTACACACGAGGATCTGTTGTTTTAAATTCATGAGGGGTCATTTGTTTTTCCAAATACTTCGATTATCCTTTCACTGGAAATTGAATTATGTTAAAAATACCAGTCATGAAGCAGAATTTGCAGGGAATTAGAGAAATAAGAGCAAAGGAATTTTTTCAATGAAAAATACTGATGAAAATAATTTTTCCTGAGAATGATATATTGAGGTTTTTATGCCCTTCTGATCTTCCAATAATACTATATTTTAATTCATTTGACATTTCCCATTCTCATTAGTTGAGTTCAATAAATTGGAAGAAAATGGATAAGTCACCGAAAACTTATGATTACCTGTCTTAATGGGGTTAATGTCTTATACTGCGTCGTCGTAAATTACTAGTGACTGAAAATACGTTTTTATTTTCTCAAGTTAAGAGGTTCTAAAGACAATTTTTAGCGTTCGATTTATTGAATTTTTGTCACGTGTACGACAGTAGAAATAAGGAGAGATCAATCCAAATTAAGACTAATTACTAAAGATGATTAAAAGCCTCGACGTCGCACGCAGACCAGAAGGAGATGAACAAACCATCGAGCGTCGTTTGAGAATGTGTCGAGAATATCAACCTGCTGTCCGCTGTCTCCTATCAACCCCTCTAATCATGCGCTGGGCTTGAAGCTGACATAGCAAATAATAAAAATATAAACTAGAGACTGGATTCTCGTGGGACTGTTTTCCCAATCCTCTTTCAATGCCAATGAGGATCCACCGTAAGTCGAGTCGGTTCTCGGATTTCCGAGGGCCGATTGTCACTGAAAATAATGAATAAAAACAACACCGTTCAAGCAACGTTAGAACGTTAAATGAAGTAATGAATAAACCTCAATGATGATGAAGTGTTCCGATAAATAAATGAATTAAAATAGGTATTGAATAAACGTATAAATATTGTACACAGTTGAAATAATATTGATTAATAGAGTGAAATTGATTATTTAAATGTGCGAGGTGTCTCAGTCTGATCGAGGTGGGGAATATAAGGAGGGTCAATGTAATTTCAATCACATCCGTGATTGATGCTAATTAGGGCGTCGTTCTCGCGCTACTGTCCTCGAATATGCGTGTGTATCCGGCATGGATCGTATTCGGTGGTGATAGGGGGGGCGTACAGAAATGAGCTCTCGTTTTCCAACCACGAACCAAACACCTAATTATATTTCGTTTTACCGTCGTGCATCGAAAATTGTGTTAAACACTTGCATTCAGCGGTGGTATTGATGTTAATTGGTTAGGTGATAATTCGCCGCGGGGTGAAGTCTATTAATACATTGAATTATAAGATTTTGTATAATAACTTGATATTTGTGGATGCGAAAATTTTTTCTAGAGGTATTTTTTTGAAATTCTAGGATAAATTAAATTAAATTTTTGATAGGTGAAGAATCCAGAATAATACTTTCCCGAATTTTCATGATTTTGACTGTCGTATGAAGCCTGAAATTGAACGGATTGTTTCTAAATTTCGTTTATTAAATTCTTCAAAATTAGGTGTATATTCCCGGAAATTAAAACTGATTATTTTTCTTGATTTTGAAAATTGGTATTTTTATTCACATGTTCATAGTGAATTCGATTAATACATTCAATAATGTGATTTATAATAATCCTTTTTGATATTCATTAATACAAAAATATTTTCTATCCGCTAATGTAGCCTGTTGAATACACTT